GTCCGATGTGGGCCCCCAGTAGATGCTCTCGCCCCGGCGGAAGTTTCGGTGCAGCCGTGTGCAGAGTGTGGCTAAGGTGAGCAGCACTAGCAGGAAAGTCAGGGCCATGGCAGCCCAGGCAGCCTCCTCGGTGCGTGGGGTGGGGCCCCGGGCTACCCGGGGAGGCCCTGCTGCCCGAGGGGCTGGGGAAGCCTGATTCGGGCAGGCACAGCCTCCTGAGCTGCCTTGCCTGTTGGGTATGTGAGCATCTGTCCCGGAGCTGGCATTGCTTCCAGGCTGTCCAGGCTGTCCAGGCAGCAAGGAGACAGGGGACACAGAAAGAGCATTACTCCCCTCACCTGGGTTTCCTAAAATGGGCTGCTGGGCCTTTAAGCTCCATGTAGAAGCAAAGGGAATCCTCAGGCCAGAAGGAGTGGGCTGAAGACCAAGGACAGCACGCAGCCCCCGCCTCTTGGCACTCCTCAGAGAAGGCCGTCTTGGGCCTCTAGATGTCACCTCTGTACCAGGAGGCCGCCAGCTCCGCAGAGCAAAGGCCAAAGCTGGGGCCTAAGGGGAGAAGAGATAGTAGTCACCGCTGCCCTGTTCAGACTGACCCCACCCCCAACCAAGCCTGGGCCTAGCACCCCTCACCTGCACACACCCTCTCCTGCATAGCCTTGCTGTGCTGGGGGTTGTCACCAAAGGAGAAGGCCCAGGAAGGTTGTCAGAGTGGAACCATACATTTTTCCTCTGCTTCCTCCGCCGTCGCCTCTTTAGCCAGTGGGCAACCCAGGCTGGTTCTACCCATGCCATCTCCAGTGCTATCCCCCATACTGTCAGCACCAGGGGCTATGAAAGAGGTATCTGTTAGATCTGAGATGAAGGTGAGGAGAAAAAGGATGCCCCTGAATTTTCTTTTCCCTGCACATGAGGCTGCACCTTCTGCCAGAATCAGGCAACCATCTTTCATCAACCACTTACCCGATCCCGAGTGAGGCTGGAGTCAGGAGCAAGCGAGGGCTTAGCCACACAAACATGGGCAAGGAGGACAAGCTGGAGCTTCAGCCAAGGGTGGGCACAGGGGTGGTAGAGGAAGGTGACATCCTCAGCCTGGAGGAAAGGCACAGAGACATCAAGCCAGGCCCAGGTCCTTCCCAGAGAATCACAAGTTTTCTCATCCTTGGGACCATTATAAAGCGACTCCCAGGATAGTCCAATGGTCCTTTCACTTTCAGAGTCCAGGAAAGAGCAAAAAGCCTTGGGACCTGGTATGTACTCCAGACTAAGTGTTCCCTTCATCCCTCCTCTCCACCAAATACCACCAGTCAAAGCTGAGCCTCTAAGCTTCCAAGACTGGGCTACCCTGTTACACTCAGACCATACTCTTTAGCTATATTTCTCTGTAGCTGTAATGATACTTCTACTGATTCCCAGTCTTGCCTGTAAACATCCCCCCAAATAAAGACTAAGTCTTCTATTTATTAATCCAATCTATACATTCTCCCAAGAGCAACCAAATACAAGACATGCAAACAGCAGGTGCACAATCTCAGGATAAAAATATTTCATCAATCATTATTTTTTGAATGAGTTGAGCTGGTGCTGAGCACTGTGCTAGATGCTGTAGAGGATGCCAAAAGAGAACTAGATTCTGCCTGCGGGGAATTTATGAGAAACTCAGGGAAACAACTAATGCCAATGAAAGAGCAAACTAACAAAACTCGAAGTAGTTTGTTGTTAAATTAAGAGACAGGTTATGAGCACTACAGGGATTCAGAGGGAATGAAGGAAAAAATGTAGACATGATCAGGCAAGGTCTCAGGGAGAGGCGACACCAGCACTAGCATGTGAAGATAGATTGCGATGGATAGCAGGAAGGTAGGGAGCTGCATACTTCAGGTCAAGAAAGTCCAGGTTTGGAGAATAAACAAGAGCAAAGGTACCACCAGTGGTGGGTAACATGACTGAACAACATGACTAAAAGGAACTAAAGACATGTAACTTAGATGAAGCTAAATTAATTAAGGCCCGAGAAGTCAGGCAGGGGAGCATAGCCTTGATAAAACAGGAAATAAGAAGCCACTGATAGGTTCAGAACAATGAATGACTTAATGAAAGAGTGACCAGTGACAGCAAAGACAGGGACAGCCATGCAAGCTGAACCCACAGTCTGGAAGTCTAATCTGAGACACATTCCTAAGTGACACAACTTTGAACCTTCCAAAGTGCTATCACACAGTATTCATTCACTCCTTACAGGTAGGGACAAAATTAATACCCTCTCTTCTAGAAAACTGGAGCTCAGAAAGTCAGGAGACCTCCCAGTCACACAGGGGAGTTGGGGTGGATTTTCTCCTGCTACCCTCAGAGTTCCACTTGCCACAAAGCCAGCTATTTGGCAACATTTGTGACAGCATTGCAGAGGACTCCAGGCCTGGTTCACTCTCTGCCCTCTGTCCTGGGATGGGGAACTGGAAACCTTGCCTCTTTCTGCAGGAAGTGGTAAGAAATGGAGCTCATGAGTAGAAAAAGCTGGGATATCTGCAGGAGTCTCAGCTGTCCCCAGGTGCAGAGATCAAGGATGGGCCGGCCCCTGCTTGTACTTACCTGCCCTGGTCTCACCTGTGTGTAGGTCACTCTTGGTAACACCTACACATGGGGAAAGAAGAGAGCTTAGAACAGCTACCAGACTCCGTGTGCGGGATGGAGAGGGGACAGTAGGCTCCAGGCCCCGTGCTGGGGTGGAGAAATTGGTAACTGAAGACAGGAGGAACTGGCAGAGGTCCCCAAGAGCGTAACCGTGGAAAGTTCAGAGAGGCCAGCGCAGCTACCTCTTCACATCCCTTTCTCCTTCGGCCCTCCAGGGCTCCTACCTGTGGGGGCAGAGGCCACAAGCCCTCGGGACAATGGGCTCCCGCCTCCTCCACCGTCTCAGCCACCACCTGTGGATCCAAGGCGCAGAGCTGGGGCGTCGGCCTCAGCGAGGGCCCAGTTCTCTCCCTTCCCTGGCCCGGAGTTTGGGCGAGGAGGATTCCTACTCCCCTCTCCGAGCGCCACCCTTCCAGGACGAACTTTTTTGCAAAGCGCTTTGAGAACCCCAGCCGAAGCCTGCCCAGGAGCGGGTCGCCTTACCTCGCTGGGACCCAAGAATCCCGCTAGGGCTGCCAGGAGAAGCAACTTGGGCAAAGACTGAGGAGGCGCCATCCGGGCCCCGCCAGTCGCTGGGCCAGTGAGGAAACGCGTAGCCCACTCGGCCCCAGCGCCCTGGCGCCCAGGCGCCGCCCGCGCGCCCACGTAGATCCCGGGCTCGCGCGCTGTCCTGCCCCCTCCACCCCCGACCGCGCGCCCGTGCCTCGCCCCGCCCCCGCTCCGCCCCCAGCAACCAGGAGTGCGCGCACGCGTCCTACACCCGAAGCCGGAAAAGTTGTGTGTGCGAGCGCTGCTGGAGAGCGTCAAGTCGCTGGGCGGGCGGAGACCACCTCCCGCTTGCTGGAGGATTCGTCCTGACGCGTCTTTGCAGCCCATGGAGCGCAGCAGTAGTGCCTGGGTGGGATCCTGGAGCGGAGCAAAGGGCGGGAAGTGGGAAAACCCAATTAACACTCATCAAGTGTGACCTGCAGCTAGAAGAGTCAGGATCACGAAATCCGAGCTGCCGAAGTGAGAGGATCCCGGTTCTAGAACTTCGTCTTCAACCCATTCCACTCCCGACCTTGAAAATAAGGCCTGAATCCGGAGGAGCCTCGAGGGGTCTCAGCCCCTATTCTCCAGGAGCCCTGGAAGGCCGCAGCTAGCCCGCGAGCTGCTTTGTTCTCCACCTTCGCCCCATCCCTCTCTGATCTCGCCCAACGGCGGTCTGAGACACACTGGGGTGATGTGAAACAGCTGCAGACCTCTCCAGCAGCAGGGCGCTAGCTCTTCAGGATTTTGAGGAATGACAGGGACGAGTGTAGAGTGTGGGGCTTGAGGTGTCCTGCCCAAAACTTTGAAATAAAGGGAAAAAAAGGTTATTTCAGCTGTTTCACATATCCCTGACGTACAAGGACCTTCTTCCCCCCACCTCCCGCCAGTAATTGTCAAATGTTGGGCTGATGAAGAACTCCAGTCTATCCTCGCCGTGTCCCTTCGCCCGCCTCTTCCTCAACTTATTAGGGGAGGCTTGGGCCTGTTTCTTCTTCCTGGGGAACGTTATTGAGGATTTCCTCTATGTGAGGCCAAGCTCTCAAGGAACCTCGCTCCGGGTGGGCCGCGGTCGTCAATCGGACAGCGCCCTGCTGCCCGTAAGGAAAGGAGCAACCGCCCGCCGCAAACTCTCGTCCAGGACTCGACGGCCGCTCTGGCTCTGGCTCTGGCCCTGGCCCTGGCCCTGGCCCTCTCCAGTCGGGTGCGGTATCCCCGGCCCTGCCGCGTGATTGCGCAGTTGCTGGGCCTGCGGGGCCGAGACAAGCACCGAGGTCAGAAAGCGCAGCCAAGGAAGGGAGAGAGGGTGTTCGGTGACTCTGGGCGCAGCTGCAGCAGGCGGGCAGGAACTCTAGAGCCGCGAGTTATTCACTTCTCGCTTTTGCAGCTCCTCAACGACAGCCCACGAGGGCACAGAGACCAGTCTCCCATGCTAGCCACGGACTTCGTGGGATGGAAGGACCGGAGCAGGATGCTCGCCCCCGGCCCCCAAGTCTCAGCCTCCGGGTCTTCCCTGGTCTCTGCTACTAACACCCCAGTCCCTCCTGCTTCGCCGGCGCGCCCTCACTCCCTCCCTCTAACCCCAACTCCTTTCACCCTCTGCTTCTGCTTGTCGCAATCCCTGTACAAAGGGCTGGGGGCGGGAGTGGGGGGCGGGAGAGGGGAGCTCGACCCGAACTGGCTGCCTTTGCGGGGCTGCGACCAATCCGAAGCGCGCCCGCCCGCCGGCGCGGGAGGGCCCTGGGCAGCCGCTGGAGGCCGGGCGGAGCCGCGGGCAGAGCGGGGAGATCGCAGAGGGGGGAGATCGCAGAGGGGACTGACTGCCCGGCTGCCTGCCGCCCGCCGCCCGCCAGAGACTCTACAGCCTCGCCATGCAGCCGTGGAGCGCCGCCCTCGCGCTGTTCCTGGCGGCGCTCGCCTTGCTCCTCCTGCTAGTCCCTCGCCTCCAGAGCCCCTGGAGGCGCGCCGTCGGAGCGAGGACCCTGCCCGGGGCCCTATTTCAGGACGATCACAAGGAGGTGAAGAGCCGAGGCCCCGCAGATAAGTTCAGCGACGGACGAGAGCCGCTGCCCGGCGGGTGCAGCCTCATCTGTAAGCCGTCTGCGCTGGCTCAGTGCCTACTGCGCACCCTGAGGCGCTCGGCTGCGCTGGAGCCCGGCCCGCGCTCCTGGCTCTCTGGTCCACACCTGCAGACTCTCTGCCACTTCGTCCTGCCCGTAGGGCCCGGGCCTGAGCTGGCCCGGGAATACCTGCAGTTGGCGGACGACGGGCTAGTGGCTCTTGACTGGGTCATAGGACCTTGCCCCCGGGGCCGCCGGATCACCAACACTGGGGGTCTTCCAGCTGTGCTGCTGGTGATCCCCAATGCGTGGGGGCGCCTAACCCGTAATGTACTCGGCCTCTGTCTGCTTGCCCTGGAGCGTGGCTACTACCCGGTCATCTTCCACCGCCGCGGCCATCACGGCTGCCCTCTGGTGAGTCCCCGGCTACAGCCTTTCGGGGACCCGTCGGACCTCAAGGAGGCGGTCACTTACATCCGCTTCCGACACCCGGCGGCCCCCTTGTTCGCGGTGAGCGAAGGCTCAGGTTCGGCGCTGCTGCTGTCCTACCTGGGTGAGTGCGGCTCCTCTAGCTACGTGACAGGCGCCGCCTGCATCTCGCCAGTGCTGCGCTGTCGAGAATGGTTCGAGGCCGGCCTGCCCTGGCCCTACGAACGCGGGTTCCTGCTGCACCAGAAGATCGCCCTCAGCAGGTTCGTAATGAAGACCCTAGACGGGCAGGCAGGGCAGGAGGAGAATAGAGGTCTTTAACAGGCTGGGTGGAAGGGTGTTCTGTCTGGTATGGGAATAGATGTGGGCCAGTTTGGTCAAAGTTCTTACACATGTTCCAAAGCTGTTCAAACCCCATGTCTAGTCAGAACCAGGGAAGCAAGTTTCAAAGCCACAGGTGGCCTCATGGCGTCAGTGAGCATCACTGCTAGATTAGGGACTTCTGGCCGGGGCCCCTTGCTACATCTCCTTCCTCCTCAGGTGTCCTAGCAACTTGAGCACCTCGCCTGTGGGTAAGCAGAGGTGATAGCCGACATTTACCACTCAGCCCATAGCCCACAGATCAGCAAAGAGGGCTCTGAAAGCAATTCAATCCATTATCTTCCAGAATGTTTACTTACAGTCTCCGAGCCAGGAGGTGACAGAAATCAGAAACATGGCAGCATTTGATTTATTCAAATTTGTTAGACTTGACAAATGTCCTAGGCATGTACTCAACATTTAATTTTACATTTTTAAAAAATATTCATTTTTTTAAAATTTTCAAAAGGAGAACATAACCATGAACCAACAAGAGTGATTCATGTAGATCAGCAGCTGCAAAGTTAAATGCTGGCTCTAGGGCTGGACAGGTGACAGATGAAACTTCCCACTGATAAAGCCTGAGTGATATTCCCAGTCTTTTCTAGGAGATGGCAAAATGAGATCAAAGGCATTATGGCCACAGGATGTTGTTGCAGAAAGAGCTGGAATATGGTCTCAGACATGCTTAGGTTCAAATTCTGAATTTCCATGTCAGTTAACCCCTTTAAGACTCACTTTCCCCTTCAGTCAAATGGGGTTAATGATCACCTCCCAATCATTAAATGGAAAAAAGAAAAGTGAAGGGCTGGAATTGGGTAGGTGATCTCTTTCCTTTTCCCCATTTTGCCTCCTATTTGGTGAAGGTCAAACCCTGAGCTGAAAAACAGCCAGAAGTGCTGCCATGGCAACTCAGAGGGCTGGTGCAGTCCAGGGGTAATGTGCTCTGATCTGGCTTAATTGCCATAGTTTCCATTCCAAAATGACCATCACCAGTGCCAACCCTGGGCACCAGCTGGAGGGCAGAGGGAAGGAAGTGTAGAGGAAAACTGTGCCTTTAGGAACTGCTCTTCCATGGAAATTTGGGCCTGAAATCTCAGTGCAAACATCTTTGAATGTCTGCAGGAGATACATGTCTAAATTCAACTAGCCAAGGCTAGATGAATCACCCAAAGGACTGAACTGTCAATCCTGGCCTCCTTAGTAGGACCCAAGGCCCCCTGCAAGGAGCTAGAAATAGCAATATTGTCTCTTTCCTCAAAGCAGTTGGTCTCAGGCCCCTATTTGGGAATACACTCAGTAAATTAATCACACTCCAAGTTGCTTTTTCTGCCACTTAGTACTTTCTGGGAATACCTGTCCCACATGTTCCTGACCAAGGTCACATTGATTTGTCACCAGAAAATCATATTAGTATAAAAATATAAAAACAACTAGTGCAATAAAAATGCAATTGATTAGGGAGAAGGGTGTCACCTACTGATTTTGGATAGTCTGAGCCAGTGAGTTCTTCTAGGAGAGGTCCAAGAGGTAACAGTTCATAACAAGTTCCCTGGAGATAGCTGAAGCTGATGTTAGGATGAGAGTGGTTCATGTAGATCAGCAGCTGCAAAGTTAAATGCTGGTCTAGGGCTGGACAGGGACTAGACAGGTAATGCAGGGAATGACAGGCCTGGCAGGCACTATGACACAGGAAGGAATATTCAGCCCATGTAACCAGATCTTTCTATTTGCCCTGAGAGGCCAGAAATCAGCATGTTATACAATATATCCTAATTTTAATTTTATTTATTGTACCAGGGACTGAACTCAGAGGTACTTTACCACTGAACTACATCCCAAACCCTTTTCATTCTATATTTTGAGACAGAGTCTAAGTTGTGTAGTGCCTTGGTAAGTTGCTAAGGCTGGCTCTGAACTTGTGATCTCCTGCCTCAGTCTCCCAAGTCACTGAGATTAAAGGCATCCACCACTGTGCCTGGCTGCAATATAGCCTAATTTTAAATGGTGGCCATTAAGTGGAAATTTTTAAAAGCACTATATAGTCAAAACGTCTCTGTGGCCAGAATCTGTCCTGTAAACTGCTCTTCTGCAACTTCTGCTATTGCCTGGTGTGTTCTTCTTCTTCTTTTTAATATTTTTAGTTGTAGATGGACACAATACCTTTACTTATTTATCTGTATGCAATGCTGAGGATCAAACCCAGTGCCTCATGCGTGCTAGGTGAGTGTTCTACCACTGAGCCACAACCCCAGCCCCTGATTCTTCTTCTTTTCCTCCTTCCCCATTTAACTTCTGCTGCCAGGTATGCCACAGCCCTGGAAGACACAGTGGACACCAGCAAGCTGTTCAGGAGCCGCTCCCTTCGAGAGTTTGAGGAGACCCTCTTCTGCCACACCAAGAGTTTCCCCATTAGCTGGGATACCTATTGGGACCGCAATGACCCTCTCCGGGATGTGGACGAGGCAGCCGTGCCTGTACTGTGCATCTGCAGTGCTGATGACCCTGTGTGTGGGCCCCCAGACCACACTCTGCCCACCGAACTCTTCCACAGCAACCCTTACTTCTTCTTGCTGCTTAGTCGCCATGGAGGCCACTGTGGCTTCCTGCGGCAGGAGCCCTTACCAGCCTGGAGCCACGATGTCATCTTGGAGTCCTTTAGGGCCTTGACTGAGTTCTTCCGAATGGAAGAAAAAATGAAAGGGCTGAACAGGCGCCGAACATCATTCCTAGGGGGCCGGCGTCGCTGGGGAGCCCTGCAAAAGAGGGAGATATCTCCCTCTTACAATCTGGAAGAGATCTTTAGCTGGAAAAGATCATATACAAGGTAAGGCCAGGGCAGGAAAGCCTCTGGTCCTGAAAGGAAGTACAGAGTGGGGCATGGTGGAGTCAAGAAAAGATGGTAAGGACTGAACAGGGCAGCTCTTTGCTCCCAATTCTGTCCTTTGTCTTTTTAACTGGTCTGTGGAAAGAAATGGAACTTCCAGCAAGCCTGTGCTCACTACCATGAGCAGAACTGCTGCCCAGGCTCTGAGAAACATATTTTTGCTCCTCCTGGCCAGTGCTAATCAAATTCATAAGCACCTTTGAAGTCCATGGACTCTGCCTCCTTCCTAGCTATGATTACACAGAAGATGAGTTGTTGCATGTCATTGGGCCACTCTGTCCCACATAAATAATCAGCTTAGTGACTGATTTTTGAGTTGGAGCCACTTGATGTAGAAAGGACAGGATGTTTGTGTCTCGGTCCCACTTCCCTCTTGTGCTCTGTGGTTGTGGCTCTGCTCTGACTTCATGCATCAGCAACTGGGGAAGAGGCTCCCAGAGTTGCTTGGCTGCTTCAGGCTGGCCTGAGTCTGAGGAGTCAGCAGAGGCAGGAAGTGCTGTGCTAACATTGGCATTGGCCAGGGTAGGCAAGGGTGAGAATGTGAAGTCCTGTTCCTGTGTGCTGAGGTCCAGTCTCTGAGAGGAGTTCCACAAATTTCTTCTGGGAATGCGGCTGATCTGGGGATCCAGCCTAGGCCTTCAAGTCTCACTAGAGTGATCCCACAGGCATTTTAGGAATAGAAAGTGCTCTCACCCCCTGGTCTCAAGGCTCCACTAGACCGTGGGTTAAGTAGCCAGACACTTGGGCACCTCAGATGCTCCCTCCAATTCTATTTCAGGGGATTCCTCCAGAGAGTCCCTGAGATGTGGGCTTTCTCTAAGTCAGTGGATAGTATAAACCTTATAACTTCGGATTTCTGGTTAGTTACTCCCTTTTCTAACTCTAGTAGCCTCTCCTTTTCTAAAACCAGGAGAGAAATCTGGAACCAGAGGAAACAAAGCACCAAGAGGTTGACTAGAGCTGACTCTGCAGTGATTTATGAGTGTTTCCCATTACCAGGCTTTGTCTGCTCAATTATTCAAAAGGCCATCCATGTAAAGGCAGAAGGGCTTCTTTCTGAACCTGACTACTCTAAGTGGGTGTTTGATTTTATGAGAACAATTCCGAAGACCAAAGTAAAATAAGATATGGCATACAGACCGATCTACACACCTTGGTTTTGATTAGGCCATTAAAATTTTGTTGACTACAGGAGATTTGGTTCCATGAGTTGTTAAGATTCATAAGCATTTCCCAAAGTTTTATTGATTGATTGACTGATTTTGCAGGGCTGGGGATTGAACCTAGGACTTCACACATGGCAAGTACTCTATCACTGAGCCATGCCTCTAGCCCAATTTTATTTTATAAATGGAAAGAGGGCATCTGTTTGACCTCACAAACAGCAAAACAATTTTAAAGAGACGTTTATGCCAAAAGCCACAACCCAAAGCTTGGTATGAGTTATTCCTAGGGCCCTGATACCATGTATGGATAATCTTGTCTGAGTCTTATTCTTTTAGACCAAATAAGAAAAGACTCTGAATTCCAAGAATCTAAACTGAAATACAACTCAATTGTCCAAGGCACAATATTCTGTTGTGAAAAAATGATCACCCTCCTTCCTACTCCTTGCTCCTCCTCCTTCACACTCCTTTTTTTTTTCACATTCATTCACCATATCTGAGCAAAAAATATAAGAAACTGAATATAAAGAGTCAGTCTGTCGTTGGTGAACCGCAGCCTTGGTAAAGGGTTGCTAAGCTAGAATTACTGACAGCTGGTACATTGGGGATTTCAGTTAATTAGGGTCCTGGAGTCCCATATGCCTTTGGACCAACCATTAAGGCTGCAAAATGGGAAGCAGCCAAATGGTTTTTAAACCTTAAGGCTTAATGATTCCTTGGTGGCAAAAATCTGGGTAGTTTCTCTAGACCAAAAAGCATAGGATTCTGATTCTGATTCTGATTCATCAAGAGAATTGATTTTCCTTTCTCTTTAATTTTTTAAAAATTTATCTAGGTTTTTTCTTCTTTTTTTCTTTCTTTTCCTTTTATATAGGCAAGAAAGCTTACAGAGGAGAGGAATGTGCATACTTTGCAATTATAATTATTATAATTTTTGGTGGTACTAGGGATTGAACCCAGGAGCACACCTCCTCTGAGATACACCCCCAGCCTTTTAAGGAAGTAATTTATTTATTGAGACAGTCTTGCTAAGTTGCTGAAGCTGGCCTCAAAATTGTGATCCTGGGCTGGACTTGTAGCTCAGTGGTAGAGCGCTTGCCCACCATGTGTGAGGCCCTGGGTTTGATCCTCAGCACCACATAAAAATAAAGGTATTGTGTCCATCTACAATTAAAAAAAATATTAAAACAAAACCCTTGTGATCCTTCTGCTTTAGCCTTCAAGTTGCTAGAATTATAGGTGTGTATCACCTATGCCCACTCTTACAGTTTTTTAGTTTTGTTTTTAGATTCTGTCCCCTACCCCCACCGTTGGGGATTGAAACCAGAACCTCACATATGCTAGACAAGTGCTCTACCACTGTACAGTTAGTCTTTCAGCTCTCAGAGGAATGTCAGAATAGCTCTAGTTCAGGTTCCATTAGTTTCCTAGGACCCTAAGCCCCAGTTACCTAAATCCTAAAACATATTTCCTCTATGTCCCTCAGGCCAGATGTGCTCACTGCATATCCCAGGAAGCTATTTCTCTCATCTCTGCCCATCACTGCTTGAAGACTAAAGCTGAAAAGTTCATTATTGCCAAGAAAGTATAGTTCCTGTTCAAGCAGGAAAGGTTTAGGTGACCCTGTCATTTAGCCAGATTGGCTCTGTTTTGGTAAATAACTAATCAAGTGAATTTGGAGGAGACCCAGGCACACTATTCTGAGGAGGTGTAGTCCCTTGAACAAAATGGCAGGTTCTGAGTTTAAGGAAGCAAAACAATAAAACAAATCTCTAAGAATTACCACTGAAGGGACTGGGGTTATAGCTCAGTGGTAGAAAACTTGCCTATCATGTGTGAGCCCAATCCCCAGCACCACCACCAAAAAAAAAAAAATACTGAATTGGTGTTTTCATGTATTGAGTCTTTAGAGATCCTCTCAGGTCTTCTTGCTTGCCTCCCTTTTGGCCTTTTTATTAACATCTTCAAATGATAAAGGAAAAAGCAGCTGAAGACTTCAGAGAGACATTATCTCAGAAGTAGAAACCAAGTCCTGTTTCCACTTGGAGATCAGAATGTAGGAAGCAGACAACTTCCCCTGAAGGTTACTTTCAGTTCTGCTAAGTTCTCACCTCTGATATCAAGATTGTGCTAAGGTATAATTTCTCCTGAAGATTTAGTTTATGTACTTATATATAGGTTTCCAGAGTGGTTTGGCTGGCGATAATAGTATGAAAAACAAAGCACCAAATTCTCTTTTTCAGAAGGCATCATCTGTTTTGAATGAAGATATCCTTTCTAAGACTTGAATACTGTAAGAAAAGTGGTCTTGATGCAGGAAGTGTCATCTTGTCTTTATGTATAACCTCAAAACCACCCAAGTCAGAAACTCTCTGGTACTCATCTTCCATCCAAACCACAAGATCCTTTGTCAGTCAGAAACCTTTACTAATGCCAAGTTATCATCTCTTAGAAATGAACTTTAGCATGAATTTCTCTTCCTGCTTCAACAAGCAAATACATTTGGCCACTTCAGTAGAACTTCCTACCACCACCAGTAGAGATCTATAATTCTACAGTCAAGCATAAAAGCAACATCAGAAGTTGTTTGCACTTGTTATCACAATGTATAAAGATTATTTTTAGGAAGGCTTGAGTTCTACATTCAGTGGGAGGATCTGAGTGCCCAGAAATGGAATCAGTGTCTTCAGAAAGCAAATCTACATGTTGGGATATTCCAGTTAGACCACCCTTGGCATTCACCATGGAGAAAATGTGTGCCAAGAAGTGAGGGTGGGCTGGATCAGATACAAGATCTTTGCTCAGGGCTGGGGTGTAGCTCAGTGGTAAAGTGCTTGCCTAGCATGCTTGAGGCCTTGGGTTCAATCCCCAGGACCATGGAGGACAAAGGGACAAGGTGTTTTCTCATCTGAGTCTGTGAATTGAAAGCTCGGTGAGTTGTGAAGACTTCTGGTTGTTTTTTGGGTTTTAGAATCAAGAGACCACAGACCTGACCTGGATACTGGAAGCTGGGAAAACAATAAAGATTTTAATTAAAAGCAACCCTACTGGGGCTAGGGATGTGGCTCAAGCGGTAACACGCTCGCCTGGCATGCGTGGGACGCTGGGTTTGATCCTCAGCACCACATAAAAAAAAAAGATGTTGTGTCCACCGATAACTAAAAAAAGTAAATAAATAAATATTAAAATTCTCTCTCTCTCTCTCTCTCTCTCTCTTTAACATTGCTGATTCAAGTTATTCTCAAAATACATGCTGATTGGGCTGGGGATGTGGCTCAAGTGGTAGTGCGCTCGCCTGGCATGCACGGG